AACTTCACGTCTGCTAACACTGAGACATTCAACGTACTCTTCACACCCTATGAATTGGACCTTGCGATCAGTAAGTGCGGAAACACTTCTGTCGGTCCAGACCAGTTATCCTACCCCTTCTTTAGAAATCTTACTAGGTCTGGACTCACCAACCTTCTGTCGGCTTTCAACGATATGTGAGTTAACGGGTCCTTCCCTCCGTCATGGCGCTCCGGCATACTTATCCCTATACTTAAGCCTTCTAAGCCTCCCTCTGACCCTTCGAGCTATCGCCCCATCTCTCTTACTAGCTGTGCTTCTAGAATATTCGAACGTATGGTCAACGGAGGTATCAGGATGTTCCTTGAGTCAAATCACCTCCTTTCACCTTTTCAGAACGGCTTTCGGCCCGGCCGCTCCACGCCGGACAGCCTGGTTCACATTATAGATTCAGTTAAGCTCGGATTTCAGACCAAATCTACTACGGTAGCATTATTCGTGGATTTAAAGGCCGCTTTGGACAGAGTGAATAAAAGAACCTTCCTCATTGAACTACATGAAATCGGAGTTCGTGGACGGCTCGTCGCTTTCATTAAAAACTTCCTAAATGATACGACGTTTTCTGTGCGTTGCGGAAATACTTATTCTTCTCCGACGACGCAGGATCACAGTCTTCCTCAGGGCAGTGTCTTATCTCCAGCCCTCTTTCTTGTGATGATAAAGGATGTTTTCAATAATATTAATAATATTTCTCCACATTTTCCGTATTCTTTATACGCGGACGACCTAGCTGTGTGGCATACGCATGCTAATGTCGATCGCGCACTGCACTATATACAGTTAGCTGTAAATGATATTCACGCCTGGTGTGCACGGTGGGGACTGCAGATTTCCCCCACAAAGTCAGCTGTAATTATGTTCTCCAGGCAAAATAATGTTCAACCTCCCATCCCCTGAATCTTAATGGTGAAATAATTCCTCTAGTTGACAGGTTTAAATACCCTGGAATAACATTAGATCATCGTCTTACTTTCAATACTCATTTTGCTGACCTTAAGCAACGATGCGCCAGACGATTGAACATAATGAAATGCATAGCAGGGCGGGAGTGGGGCGCCGACAGACGCACTCTCCTCCGCCTCTATACCTCTCTGAAACGCCCGATCTTGGACTACAATGGCTTTCTTTTTTATGGTATTTCTTCCAAAAAAAAGTCGAAACCCTGGAGACCATCCAAAACGCAGCCCTCTGCATAGTGACTGGTGCACTTTGCACCTCCCCGGTCCCAAATCTGCTCGCGGACACGAATATCCCCTCCCTATCACACCGACGAAAATTACAACTTCTCAGATTTTACGCACGCGCCACAGCGCACGTTGGTAACCCCACATACAACGCCCTCGCACACCTCCGCCCCAACCGCACACTTACCAACGCGGAACTCCAGCATCCAACCATCAGCACTCGTGTTATTGGAGCGCAGCGAGCGCTTAATCTCCCCGACATTCCCTGCAACCTAACTCCCAGTCCCCGGCCCTTTTGAGGTGACCCTGTACCTAACGTATTCTTTCTGTTTAAACACAAAAAACGAAGCGTATCAGAAACCGAAGTGCATGCACTGTTCGCTGAGTTCAAAGGAGAGTATGACCAGCACACCTTTATTTATACTGACGGCTCCCGACGCGATGGTCGCACAGGAGCTGCCTTCGCACATCATAATTACCACAAGTCAAACCGCCCGTCAAATTACAATACTGTGTATGCGGCTGAACTAACAGCAATCCTGGCAGCCTTGCTCTGCATCAAGCAAGGCAATCTACAAAGGGCAGTCATATTCACCGTCTCTCATTCGTCCTTACAAGCTCTCATCACTCTCCATAATTCATCCCACCCAACTTTAAACGGCATACGACGAACGCTCTGCTCCCTTCCTCAACAAGCTCACGTAATATTTCTCTGGATACTGGGACACGCAAATATTCGTGGAAACAGCACTGGTGACGAAGAAGCAAAACGAAGTTTTATGCTTCCGGAACGTAATCATCTTCATTGTCCCGTTTCTGATGTTCTAGCAGTTATCAGTTTACATTCCCGTCTCTTTCTCCAATCCGAATGGGATCAACGCGCTCATCACCACCTTCACCCAATCAAACCCATACTTCAGCACTGGCCGACAATCAATCGAGACAATCGCCTGAAGGAAGTGCTGCTTGCTAGACTGCGCATCGATCACACCAAAATCACCCACTGCCACCTTTTCGAACGCACTCCTCCACTGTGTCCTCGCTGCGGCATCCCTTTCACAATAAATCATTTTCTCCTCGCGTGTCCGGTATATCAACGATCAAGGCAGCCGCTCATCAATTACACCAACACTAATCGGCTTCCATTCAATCTCCATTTTCTCCTCGGTGGTTCTTATCCTGATTTGATCGTTCTCCTCTTTGAGTTTTTACACAGTACAGGATTAGATATCTGCATAATTTGGCAAATCTTTCAGGTTTTTCCCTATTGGCTAGGAGTCCTGTTTTTTTTTTTAGTTAGGACTTTCCAGGACTCAGTAACATCGCACAACACCACAAGGTCGTGCCGGGCAGCGGAGCCCGGGCCTGATCTCCCTGTTGCTGCGATGAAGCGGGCCGGCATCCATCCATCGCACAGGTCGCCGACAAGTCAGCTGAGCCAAGGCCATCGCTGACACGGACACCCCACACAGGACACACTGCACCCCAGGAGTAAGGCCGGTGAGGAGGCTCGCTTGTCGTTCAAACGTATTGCTATGTCGTCATGACATAAATATATCTGTTGCTGCGGTCTGATTTACTTGCTATGATCTTGCTGGACAAAAATGAGCCAGGTTAACGTAACGTCACTTACGAATACCCTCTCCCTTGCTTTGCGCCGGACAGCATAAGCCGGCTTAACGTAATCGTTGCCTGGCATTATGCCGGAAGTAAATTTTCCCCCACCCGTCGGAGGTGACTTTAGGTCCGTCGAGTGAAAAAAGAGGCCTTGCATTGGCCCACCAAAAAAAGAACAAAGTTCGTTTTCCTTCACTGCCGGCGAATCCAAAACTTTCTAAAATCTCCCTAGCCTGCCCATGGCTACTGAATGTCTTTAAAAGGTCAGAGAAAGTTCTGAAAAACAGGCAGGTTTTGATCTCTTTAAGAACTAATATGATCCGATGCAAGATTAAAAATGATTTTGTTTATTCCTGTGGGATAGGCAATCCGGAAACATGTATGACATGACTAGCCTGCTGCATGTCATGTTCACCTCGTATGACCTCATCTTGACATCTTACCTACATCTTGAGCATGTACTGACCAGAAAAACTGTAGATGACGTTTAAGCCTCATAACGCGAGCAAAATGGATGTGAAGATATTTTGAATCATGTGTTGCATAAATGCGCCAAACTATTATGCTAACCTATGGAACGACCTTGGCCTGACCCCGTTGTGGTATCAATGTGTTCGTAACACAGCATTCTCACTAAGCCAAAGAGCATACACTTTTTGAAGAAATTAAACGCCTCAATTGACCCATTCCCTGCAAACATGCAGCGGGGATCTGCAGGCCTTTGCCCTCATCTTGGCCTTCATGTCAGTATGATTTCTAATGGTTGTTTCTGCAAGATGCGCCCATTAGCTATTTCCTTTGTGTATATATACATATATATATATATATATATATATATATATATATATATATATATATACAAAGGAAATAGCATCTTGCATCTACATATATATATATATATATATATATATATATATATATATATATATACATTTACAGCATGGGCAATGAATTCCCGAAAACGCTTTGTGAAAGTTTTGTCTCCCGATTTTCCAGCCCGAGGCGCTCGGCTGGGACGCCAGCCAATTAATGATTAACACGCGCTCAGGTGGGGGTCAAATTGACCCCTCTGAGCATTTTCCCAAATGGTTTCCAAACGGCGCGGCGCAGCTGCGCCAAATTTTGAAAGCTGTAGACAATTGAATGACGGATCGTTTGGCATAACAAATCTAGATGTACCTTGTAAGGTCGCTGACCTATGGTAGGCTAAAGTCAGGCCATGGTTTCAGTTAAGGCAATTTCTAGGGAATCCTTCAATCTGATGCAACAACGGAGTGTTTGACGAAGCCATACATCTCTGAGATGCTTTCTTAGGCACCAAAAATATTGAATGAGCAAATTACGTTGACCTAAGATCAGGTATGAAGGTCAGACCAAGGTCAAAACCAGCCTGATTTATTACTCTAGGGTTTGCTGTATGGGGTAGTTTCAAGTGTTCATCTCGAATTTATTCACAGCAGAAACCGCATTATACATCTTCCCTTGACTTCTTAGAGGTCAGAACAGGTCATTGACATAAGATCACCCGGGTCGACATTTTGTTTTCGGGACATACTGCCTAGAGTAATCTTTGTCGCTCATTCAAATGCAAAACTCAGAGCAGTCTTGTGTGATTTTGGTCACCATGACCTTAAAAAGGTCGAACAAGGTCACTGACCTCAAATGGGTTTGTGGCCTTTTGCTTAGAAACAGTTGCCTAGGTTCTGGGGGCACTTTGGAGACCAACCTGGAATTTGACCATGTTGACCTTGTTTGACCGGAAGATCATGATCTAGGAAGTTCGAACTTTGACCTAAGTGAGTTCATGTACAGGTCAACACACTCTGTAAATTTGGTGTGTACTAGCTTTCTTAGTTCCTGTGATCTCAGGGGGTCAAATTGACTCTCCCCTCACCCGAACGAAAGGTATCTAGTCGGCCACTCGGGCTCGTGTTAATAGACCTTGGAGCTGATATTATGGCCTGTTCAGAGAAGAGATGTCTTGTTATGATCCAATCAAAGATATTTAACGGCTTCCAGCCGTAGAACCTTTTCAAAAAACCAAGCAAACTGCGGTAGGCATGTATCCGCCGTTGACCATTACGTGCGCATTAAACTTGTGACGTCATCAGTCGAAACAGCGGAATTAGCCGCACGGTTATACCTTCTGTTCAAGGGCCTTGGGGGTGGACGGTGATAGCACGATTGGTTGATAGTTTAGCTAAAGGCCACATATAGATAAAGCTCGGTGTCGTACACTGAGGAAAGCATTGTATCAGACTCAACGTCGGTGAGTAGATGTAGCTATGATTTGCGCGGCCGGCTTGCTCTATGAGGGGGAAATCATTCTCGCGCCTTTGCTGCTTTGACCTTCGAGCCCGATCACGCAGCAGCCCGACGTCCCAGATGGTTTAGTTTTAAACAAAGGTTTGTGGGTGGATGAGTACGGAAATATTTCATCCCGAATAAATGGTGGAAATCATCATCGCCCTAATTTTGAGCAAAATTATTCTCAAGGTTGGGGGAGGGGCTAGTATCCCATCTAACTGAATAAGGAATAGCACCACCTGGTGCCAAATGATGTATATCTTGGTCAGTAAAAGCCTAGGCAGGTATCACATTACCCTAGACTTGTTCCCTTAGGTGAGAAAGGTTGTATCTGGGATAGAACATAGATGTGCTAGCTGTTATACCCCAGATGCTCCTATTTATATCATTGTAGTTTGCATGACATTTCAATTGTGAATTTGTGATAATGAGCTCTGGGGTATTGTTCAACAGGTGCACAACATTTTAACCATTGGTGTCTGTCAGCCTTAATTGGGACACACCTTTACAATAAAATGGTCAATATTCAACAACTTTCTATCAGCTCTATAGCTTCCAAAAATACATCAGATGTAAGCATAGACTTAGGAAGGAAGCACTTACTGATGAAGCTAAAAATTAGAAAATTGCAAGCGGCCAATGTCTGAGGGCCTTTGGCTATCACTGTGACCAGCTAGAGTGTGATGTTTGCTGTCATCTGCTGCCGAAGAATGTCATTCAGTGACAGCTTTGAATATGGTGCAAATTCACCTAGGCTACCTTGTTCTTAGTACAAGGCTGCGTTTTTATAATTTTGTTTTTCTCCCCTGAGAGCCGAACCAACTTTCATATACTGCCTGTAGGTCATTGTACCTTTCAAATTGGTATGAACTATAAAACACTTATAAAACAATTAAGGTATGTGCCATCAGGACTTCTTGAAAGATTGTAAACTACAATATTTCAATTATTATGCTTACCTTTGTCAATACCTCAGCACACAAACCGTGTAACAATTTCTGCATATCAGCTTTATTATTATGAGAAATCATTGCAACTTTTTCCTCTGTCTTTGAATATTTACAGACCTGCTGTGTCTGTTTCAACATTAAGTCATGCTGCATCAGATGTTGCAGAGCCATTGGCCCCAGCTTTTGACTATTGTCTCCAACTTGACATGTTATCTTAACCATCAAAACATGCATATGAAAGATACAAAACACGCATACCAAGGCTGCATGATCCTCAATTACGCATAGTCAAGGATGGTCTCAAATTGGTTTTCTGAACAAAAATGGGCTAAGTGGGCAAGAAAAGTGAGAGCAAACCTATGCTACAAATAGTTACACTTGACAGTCTCACCACAAAATTCCATATACTTGAGCTGTCATCTCAGCTCACACAGGCTGCTGAGTAGTGAATAGGGCAGCACTTTCATCTCCTCTGAACAGACCTGTGAGGAGGGAGAGAAGCATCACCAGCTATGGGATATTACTGACAAGGCAAAGACAAGGTGGTAATGAAAACCTGGTGTTCAGTGGTAACAAGATTGTGAAGATGAAACCTTATAAGGAGATTCATGGATTCCAACTTGGCTTGGGTTAACCTTCCAACCTAGCCTGGGCAGCCCACCCATTGACTGTCAGGCTGTACCTGACCTTCAGCTGTTTGTTGCAAGTGACACAGCTAACAATCTCACTACTGTGGTGGCTCCTGAGACCATCTGGGGCTATGGCTGCAATCAACAACCCACAGGGACTTATGGCAAAAGGATGCCAGCAAGGCCATGAGGATTCTGTGCACATACACAGACCAATTCCTGTAAAGGAGAGACAATATATACATGTTAACAACAGGCCAGGAGCCCCATCCTATTCTTCTTACAAAACTGCTCCAAGGCCCCGGATCTTCCCATTTCTTTTGCCCAACTTACCACACCTGTCTGCACACTATGCCAAATGGTCATGGGCAAAATAACCTTAGGAAGCATTAGACTTTGCAGCAAATATGTTGATGTGAAGAGCCCATTGAATGCAGCTCTGGTCACCTTCCAAGGCTCCTTATTCAAGGAACAACTCTGGATCAGTATGGCCTTGCTGGATCTGACAGCTTCTTGGTTGTTTGTACCGGAGTCCCTTTAGCCAAGGGCAATTAAGCACTGGCAATTGTATGAGCTCCCTAGATCTGTGATTTGCTCAGATCCTGCTCATCCCCTCACTATTTGGGACAGCAATATACCTGCAGTTGGAGTCATGGTTTTTCTGCAGCCCCTGTGGGTCATTTCTCAGATTTTCTCAAAACTTTGGGGGGATGATTTTCTCAACTAGCATGTGACTCAGAACACAAGGCACATAGCTGGTACATAGGCACCCCCGCACCCTGGATCGGGGTCCTTCCAGCAAAGGTGGCACAATTCAGAACTTGATGCATGCACCAGGTTTAGACATCAATGAACATACCATTTTGTGGTTTGACTTAATGTACAAGAGCTGATTTTGGTGTCTCAGGCATCTCACTACTGCAGTTAACATTGGGAGCAGAAACACTACAACATGTTTCAACAGAGGCTGATGAAACCTTGATGACTGCACCAAGATCGGAGTCCAAATCTTTGAATAAAAGTAGAAAAATACGTACAAAAAGATGTACATGCTGTGTACATGCATGCTGCACTTAATTTTTACAAAAAATAATGGAAAGGGCCTATGACAGGTATTTATGGGTGCTAACAATGGATTTATACTTACTAATAGGGAGCTGAAGACCTCAGCTGTTGCTGCCTGGCCCGTGGCCTGGCAGTTGCCGTTCAACGATTGCAAGTGCGAGGTACATTACAGTGGTCAGGCAAACCGAAAGTTGGCTTACACCATGAGAGCATTTGATTGGCGCAGGTCCCTAGGGAAAAGGATGCGGGATTACTTTTGAATGGAGGCATGAAGTTCAGCAAGCAGACGGCAGCAGCGGCGTCCAAGGCGTCCCAGATTCTTTCCACTATCCGCGGGTCCTCCAAGCTTCTTGGTCAGACGAGTGCGCCAGTCCTGTTCACAATCCTAGTGCGCCTTCACCTTGAGTATGCAAACATCATTTGGGTTCTGTTGAACCCTGCCAGCTAGAAGCTGCTGGAACTTGTCCAGAGGCGCGCAACCAAGGTGATGCAAAGCCTCATGGCGAGGCCGTATCCCAAGAGGCTCCGTGTCCTCGGGTTATCATCCCCACACTATCGGATCATGCCGATACCATTTTACTGTGCCAGATCGTGCACTCCGGCGTTGATCTTGATACAGATGAGTTATTCTCGTCAGTCACGACTTCCACGATTGGCCACGCCTGAAAACTGAACAGTTCTCAAGCCGCGACGCGGGGCAAACAGAATGTCTTCACCGTGAGTGGTCTAACGACTGGGAGGCCTTTCCCACAGTGTGGTTGCCTCCCATACACTACACCAGTGTAAATCCAGGCCAGACTCACGCTGGGCACATCTAATGTGCAGCATTTCGTATCAGGTTTGATGTAGTTCAGCCAGTCAGAAGTTTGATAGCAGCGGATCCAACAGGCCAAGTGGCTTTCCGTGCCCCGTACCTTGTAAGGTATGGTAAGATGAAGTATGGTTTAGATATGCTGTGATTATTGTCAGGGAATTTGCAATGAATTTGGTCCCAAGACCGAACGGCCCCTCTCAAGCTCAGATCCAGGATCCGCACCTGACCAGATGGAGACATCAGCCAGATTGCAAACACGGAAATCTGAACAAGATCTTTTCAGTGCGGAGCACGTGCTGAGTGGTACTAACTGGTGTGGCTCCTCCTTGGGCATCTATTCATGTGAGCCTGTGGTATACCGTATCTACAGACGGGCCTCTAGAAGCCAGTCATTTACATTACTAACACGAAATTCTGGCCATTTTGAGCAAATTAATTTTACTTGTCGCTCATGAATGATATTCATCGCCGCGTAAGTGATAAATGATATTCATGCTCATCACAACATTACTGAAGGCAGTAGTCTATCGCTCACGTTCGTTCGCATGCCAGCCTTGTGAGCACATTGTTTGTTGTCGGCAGGATTGGCTATGATTCGCCTGCAGGGTCCGTCCGACCGGCCAGGAGCCGGCATGCCAGACGAGGCCAAGCTGGCCCGCGACTCGGTCATCGTCAACACGGCCGCCTTTGTCGTCATCTGCGGCGTCATCCGCGCCTGTAAGCACCCAGCCGAACACTTTGTGTTCGGCTGGTGAAACACAAGCAACACACAACTGCTGGGCACAATGCGTGTTTATTGCTTGGACCGAAGCGTTGGACCACTTAGCGTCCATGCAATTCTGAATAACATGCTGCGCCTGCAATCGAACGCCACTGAGTTTAAATCCCCCAGCGCGCATTTCTTGTCACAGCTGGTAGGTGAGCAAAAGTCAGCTGGTTCTTGGCCTGAGAGGGTGGAAATGGCACGTGGTGATAATGCATGAGGTGGGGCTCTTGTCTCAAAGATGGGTGGGCAGTGGGAGGGGAGGAACATGCATGGATGCTCAAAATACCGTGAACCTAGACTATCAGTGTTGGGAACTCGATCACCTGTTGCAAATTCCACCGTGTGTTCCTGACCGTGGATGACATCATGTGGGGGTGGATGGTGTTCTTTTGCACTGTGCTGCGAGCTGGATTTTGCTTATGTAGACTTTATTGAAAATTCCTGACACAGGTCAGTAATTTTGACGACCTCTGCTACTCTACTGACAAAAAGCTTGCTCTTAGTCAGTGGATGGTAGGGATGTTGGGATGAACACTGATGGTGCTGGCCTGACTCCGCCATCGAGGATGGCACTGGTCGTGGTCGCAGGCGGGCCGACACAGATGGCGGTGGCGACGCGGGCAGGTTAGAATAGTGGGCGGCGGGGACAGCCGGACCGCCACTGTTGGTGCCGAATAGTGTCTGAATGTCGCAGTGTGGCTTGGTGACAAGCCAGCCGCCACAGCTTTATCGCGCATTGTCATATCGCAATTGATGTTGGTGACGGTTGTGACGGCCGGCCGGCCGGCCTTAACAGTTGACTGAGGTGGTGGACCGGTCGCCAGTTTGCCTTGGTGACTTAGAGGCCACCACAATTGGAGGTGGGCGTGGCTATGGCGGGCCGTCACCTTGAGATGTGGTGATGAGTCTGTCACAAGGGTGTATCAGTGTCAAGTCCCATCATCGAGTTGGGGCGGAAGTGAAGCTTGAAGAGACAATTTTTCGTCGTCCCGGGACACGCCGGTGGTCACAGCTCTCCACTGGATGCTGGTCGCAGTCGTCACAGCTGGTCTGGTTAGCACCGTTGATTGGACGCTGTTGACGGCCGTGGGTATGACCACTGGGGAGTACGTTGTACCCAATTATAAAATGGAGCGCTCTTCCCTCATATTTGCGTGTCACATGCAAGTTTTTCGCGTTTTTCTGTCTTTGAAATGGAATTTTGAGCTCGCTTGGTCCCCCTTCCCTGGTTTCCACCTTGACCACTCCAGCCCCGATTGGTTTCCACCTTGACCACTCCAGCCCCGATTGATTTCCACCTTGACTACTCCAGCCGCGATTGGTTTCCACCTTGACCACTCCATCCCCGATTGGTTTCCACCTTGACCACTCCAGCCCCGATTGGCTGGGGAGGGCCATTTAGCTGTGATGCGTCTGGTGCCTAATAGTATCAATATTCCATGCGCGACGCATGATCGGTCATCTTACAATGAGGTCAAGGCAGCGAAGATGCTGTATGCAAAATGACGTCTTGATTTAGGTAAGAAATCTTTCAACTCCTGATTTTTCAGCACGGTAAGTTCAAAGTGACTAAGCTGCCTTAACGACCCTAGATATACCAGGAGGTATTGATTAAATAGGGTTATAGCGCTAAACAACGGTTCTTTTGGTGGTTTTCAAGAGTGACAACGATTCAGAGAGATTGAAGTGATGTTCCGCATTCGAACCCGATGAACCCAGCGTGAGATATGATGAAATGAACTCATTTACAGCTATTTGCATATGCGAGTATTTTATGGACTATTTCAAGGTCACGGAGGCATCAGTGACGCCATATTGATGCCATTCAAATCCTGTCTCCATGCACCATGCGGTGATGAAGACCAAGAAAAATATAATTGTTCGCTCCTTCATCTCTGGCGTTCGGGAACGCGATTTCCAGATATACTGGCTTTCAGTGGTCGTTACCGATGTCGTGCAGGGTTCGATGACGTAATCAAATGATGATGAATGGAGGAGCATGTTAACTAGATGGAGAAAAGGTGTCGTCAAGAGTAGTCCACTTAGGAGTATGCCAATAGTTATAAGTGAGCGTATATCACAAGTATGACACATGAATCCAGAATTTTTTCTAATTTTCGACGGACGTCATTAAAAGTTAAAAAATGATAAGTTATCCAAACTACCAACACCCCATGTACACTTCCACGTTACTATGTTTGAAGAAACAGGCGATTACGTTGGAAGCGTGCAATTATTCAAGCCCAGAATTACATAAGAAAAATGCTTACTGCGGTTGTTAGGCGTTGCGAACATTGCCCGAACCTCAGAAACATGCATCACGTGGACATATTGTTTGAAGTAAGTCCCATGACGAAGTTTGTACGCTCAGCCTGTGGCTAGCATGACGAATGTGCAGCGATTCTATGATGTTGGTATCCGCCTGTCCCTAGCTGTTGCTAAAATTTACCTTTTGAACTTTGTGTGGCTTTCGCCGTGCTTCCTTGCTGCGTGATGATCTCCCGTGTGTTCTTGTAGCGGTGCGCGCGCTCTCCATAAACGTGCGTCCTCAAGGCGCCCCTTAGTCCTGTCAATGCCACGTTAGTTTCTCACGCACATGATATCCCGGGGCAATGGTTTCACGATATCATGTAAAGTGCGCTCTTCCTCCGCAAGTATTTTTTTCAATGTAATAGTGTGGGTCATTAAAAACTTCATGCTTAGCCGCCTGTGTTTTGGGAGTATTCAACGTAGAGCTGTATATCTTGTGTTGGGTGCTTAGATGACTCATAATTTTTAGCTTTAAGTTTAGTCTCTGCACAACGTAGGAATCCTCTCTGGATTCACGTGTCTTACCTTTGAAGTGTAATATTTTGCTTGATCTTTCTGAACCCTGCCACTTTTTAGCATGAGCGCAGTTTAAAATGCGAGTACCGCATGTAACTGTTGTATAGGACCATAATGTGGTGTATTCACTGTTAATTCAATGGAGATCGTTAACTCAACACACGAATGTTAACTCACATTGTCAAAATAGCATTTATTCCGAATGTGGGCTCATCCTGGCGCAGTTGGGAAATATTTGTAACATCAGACATCCAAAAATGAATAATGAAACAACGTTATGAATGCGAAGCCTGGTATATGCAATACGGGTTATGGAAAAGCAAATACATTGTATTGGTCCTAATACAAATCTATGCTACCTTTCCCGGCCGTATGCTTGCTCTTTCAAGCGTAAAGCACTGAAGAAATATCGAAAATTTCTTGGTTTATTCGACTTCTCAGATAATTTGTTTGGGACGTCGTGTAACATTTTGGATCTCTCGCCACGAAAAATTGCATGTACTGAGAGAGTCTTAACTGCCAATATAATATGCAATTTATATTGTAGGTGCTTTCCTTCACTTAGATTCTCACAATGATGTGAGTTCAGAAGCACTGGATGCTAACCAGGGGACCACGTGATGTCGGCCAGCCAATCAAGTCCCGAGGAATCAAGTCTTCAGTGCGCTACTTCACGTCCGCTTGATTAGTGTGGAAATGAGACCGTTTTGATGAATGGCAAATCTGGATTCAGGATGACGCCATATCGTGAAGCTATAGATTGATTAGCTGAATGATTGGGTTATTGCCGTACATTAGAACGGATGTTGCCGCGGATGTTGCGTGACAGGACAGTGTCTGCCAGCCTATTTCGTCGCTTTTCATGCCCGAAGTGGCCGGGCTGTAATAAGTTTATTATCGGCCGGAGGCTACTCGAGCGACTGTAATTGTAGCTGCGTAGTACTTGTGAAGTATGGTCTTGTCACCTACTTGACCTCACAGAGGCGGAAGGTCCATGAAAGGTACTTACTGGTAGCGGCTGTCGTGAGACGCGCTCAACCGCACCCTCACATGAATAAAATCCGACTTTCTACGTAGAAATTAGACATATTGTAGTGCGGACTTAAAAAACTAAAACAGTAAAGCAGTACTAAGAAAGTTTCGTCTCGATGTTGCTGCCTGTGCGTCATAGCGATTCGTACAGGTCAATACGATGTCTCGGAAAGCATGTGACGGCATAGCTGCATCAAAGTTAAAAGCTGGATGTATCCAGGTAAGAGCCAAGCTTGAAATGGCCGAAATGTATGATAACGCAGCAGTGCTACATGACAAACGATATAATTGTAAGTGAATTGCCGTTTTAAGGTGGCCCGCCGGTCTCCAGGATATAAGGGATCGTGTGGAATACTCCTCGTTTGTGTCATTATTTTGTGTGTGTGGTTACTGGTTTGTGGGTGTTGTTGAGAGTGAAATACCGGCCACTAGAAACTGTAGGCTCGGAAGATTTACATTTACTTAACTCGGGAGCAGGACTGGCGTGAGCTAGACCGTCACTAGTGTAGCCATCACGCAAACAGAAACCCGCTACAGGAAGTTTAGAATGGTTTTATCAGTCACTTCTTGGTGGGCAGATATGACAACGATATGCGTGAGGATTGCTTGGTATGATTCCGTTAGGTAGTGGGAGGGATTTCGCATTTCCGACACCAGGCTTGTAACTGCGTATTATTTTAATGTCCACACAGTTTCCAAAATGAATGCTGCAGCTATCAAAATTAGGGTTTTTCCCTCAGTTATTTCTGGAAAGTGTTATTGCTGCCGGTGTACCGGTAGTCGGCGGTAAATCCCACCTGGCACCGCAAGACCAGTGTGTGCGCTAGCATTCTGCCGTTATCTCACGGATATCAAGAAATTAGGGCCGGTGGAGTGTATTCAAATTTGGCGTTCTCCTATTGCGAATACCAGATAAACCTTGCCAATGGTAAGGTGATACCCAATACCGCAAGTGGGAAGCCCCCTCTTTTCGCGACTTTTTTTTTCGCGACGATTTCCAAATGAAGCGGAAGTCAGTTGGCTCGCAATCGATGTTGAGCGGCTTCGCAAGTTTCAGTCAAAAGTCACGTTTTGTGCTACATAAACAAGAAGTTGGACATGGGTCCTAGTCATTACGAAACCAAGATTGGTAATTCTAGGTCTGGTAATTGAATAGCTTGAAAATGGCGTCATAACCGAGTATGTGAATGCAAGTTAACACCTTAAACTCACAGAATGTTAGGCAAAAACACCGCAGAAGGGGCCAAAACAGGAACACTTATAGGCTCCGGACACACAGCTTTAATTTAGTTCCCTGAACTCATCTCATACTGTTCTGCTTGCCTCTGTCGCGCCGTTTTCACCCCCCGCTCTTTTCCTTTGTGCGAGCTCTCCTCGCGAAATCAACCGGCAGTTCGCCACATGAGCCCATTGAGGATACTACGTAGTTTGTGTAAATATCTTAGTTATGCTTGAGTGTGTGTCATAATTGTGCATGATGCATAATACGCTTAAGCGCCTTGAGACGAGTGGCTGCGGAATGGCTGTTATTTATTTGTGTTTGTTGCTTTGTTGCAGAATTCGGCACAGTGATGCACGAATACAGCTTTACGTAGAGCTAGAGCGGCTATATCTGCACGCAGAGCCGGGAGCTGCTTCTTGCCGCGTTGCAAGCCATGAGAATGGGTGTCGACGTTACGCTTATTAAGTCTTAAAAAGGGCATAATTGTCGAGTGTCCGGTACAAATATGGAGCGGTCCCTTTAAAGGGAATTTTCCACGGTTGAAGATACTGAGGCAAGCATAAGATACAATGAAATAAACCCCTTCGTAACGTTTTATATGGTTTGAGTTGCAAGACTCTGCTCTAGGTAACAAAGTTTCACGTTTTTAGGAAATATGCTCGTCAACATGTCATCATTTGATTGCGTCTTGGAACGTTTGCATGCCGCCACAGTGGTTGTCAAACTGACCGTACAAAGTTGCAACCGTAGTGAACGGAGTAACTCAATTGTAGTACGCCTTCTTGTCGAGAGGTGTCGTGTTAACCAGTACATTGTTTTCAGACGTGAAATATCATTGTGTGAGTGTTTTCGCGCGGTCTTGTGATGTTCTTACATATTTGCCCGTAGTTTTACACTGTTGTCTTGCACCCATGCACGTGGTTAGTACGCTTTTCTGAAGTTTTTCGATTACCAGTCGTATTTCCATCATTATTCGGACCACTGCCCAAGTTCCTGTATTATATAGCGCAAAATGTGTTGCTCGTTCGATCTCGTTCAGGAACAGCTGGCATGCGTTTTGGCTGATCTGGGCCATGTCGCCGCTAGAATAACACGTATTTCATTCTCGCTTTGCGTGGTAATGTTAAGAGTTATATTCGCCAGCATTTTGGGTGATAAAGAGTGCCATCAAAGAGAGAACGTTGTTTTGACCCAACCAAGCAGTTTCAAACATAGCGAAGATGCTATTTGTCAAGTTACCACGTATGACACGCAGTTTTGCAATTCTGACTGCTTGTATGGGTATGTTTTAGTGGTCAGCTGGCAAACTCAGTATATTTAAACACCGTTAAAAATCGATCTAACTGTTACATTACGTCCTATCGGAAAGCCTGTATGAAACCCACCTAAAGCATTTTAATGGCTCCTGAAATCGTGGAGAGTTTTCCTTAAGGCTGCCGACACAAAGCTCTCAATTTTTGTTGGGGCATGATCAAGTACGCGAATTCCTGTTGGACGATCGCCTCCAGTTATTGGTGTTTGCACGCCATCCAAAAATTAAGGCATCGTAAATTTAATCAAAAAAACAATTAGCCATGTTTACCTTCTATCGCCAGGCATGTTGCAGTGCCATTCGGGTTCCGGAGCACGATGCCAATGCCTAATGTTTGCCAGTCCGTACGTGCTTTTGTGGTGTCTCAGGAATTCTGGAGTTCCCTTTATGGCGTTGGACTATTTCAACTTAAGACCGCAGCTGTTTGAACTCGGCAACAGGCCGGGTTAGTTACCGCCACGTGATCACACCAGGTCATCATGAAAGGTAATGTCACTCCAACTAGTAAATGCCAAAGTCAACCATTGTCTTGTTCAATTCGCGGCAAAGCAGTCAGTAAATGAACACATTTTCCAAACCATTGGCTAATGAGATCCTGTCATGTTAAGTCAGGCCAAACGAAAAACGAACAGTCGTGTCGGATGACTCCACAGACATTGATCGGACATCGACGTACCCTTTTTTTGGTGAAAGATCAAAGAGATCATTTGTCACTAAAGTCATCCCATCAGTGACAAAACTAGCGTTTTTTTCTGTATCCAGGTATAGCACGGTCTCATTTTTCATTTGATCAGATGATCGTAAGGGACCTAGCTCACGGCTCATGCTTTGCTGCAACGCTACTTTAGGCAGTGTCAGTGACTACTTATTGGCTTAAGTGCTTTATCGCGGGGCTGCTTTGTTTGCTAAACGTCCCTAGTAGACTTGGACAGCGATGACCAGTGATGTGATGTTACACAGACAAAGTAACACCCTGGGGGTGTGTACTGTGAATTTCCAGTCGGAAGAAGATCCGAGTAGGTATTACAATTGGTGCTTCGGGAGAAATGGAAGTGTTGCCTCGCTGTAATAACCCAGCAAGACTCGAGTGGTGCGGGGTACGGGCCATTCATATTGGGGATCCCTACGTGGGGACGCTTTGGTGCTGTTTCAACGTTTTTGGTGGGACGTATCATAGTCGCCTTGGGGGTCGGTGAGAAAACTGCACGCCCACGCACCCACATCCGGATCGTAGCGGCCGGCCATATCGATTTTTTTGCGGACCCGTGAAAGGGGGTGCGCATTTTCCTCTGGAACTGGCAGACGGGTGTCACTTTGTCCCAAACTACGCGTCGAGCCTTATCCCTGAACACAGCTGACAGCACACTGGCCTCAGCTTCGAGCCGCTGAAAGATATACCTCGCCCGGCGGATCCTGACGCCAGCGATCAGCTGGCGTCGCGCTGCTGTCGCAGGCGATGACTGACGCCAGCGGCCGCCTCTGTTGCAGTGCCATTGGCGCTGGCGACGCTGAGCGGGGACACGTGAGCGAGCCTCGGGCGTGTCGCCGACCACCGCGCCGCCCCGGCCGACGGCGCTGAGTGCCGGCGGCACCGCTCCGGCTGGGTGCCGACAGCGCTGGGTGCCGTCATCGCCACTCCGACCGACAGCGCTGGGTGCCGACAGCGCCGCTCCGGCGGCCGTAACTGACGTGATGTGCCGCCCCTCGACCAACCGTGCCGGCGCCCGGACGCGTCCGACGGGAACTGGCGGGGAACTGTGGCAGCGACGGCTTTTCTCAGGCTGGTGCGACGACACCGCGACATCCCAGGACTGTTTAGAGGCAGGTGCGAGTGAGCCGGTGTGGTAGTTTGCTGCTGCGATGGTGTGTGGTGCGCCTTGAGTGTTGATTTTGCGATAAGCTGGCGATGCAAACATAGTCGGCAAATATACGTTAACTACATTGTGTCATGCTGTCAAACATCCACCACACGGGTTTTTCGATTTCCTGACTGGTGATCAGGGACCATTTAGCTCTTTGCAGCCCCCGCTACTTAAAGAATAAAACCTTCTATTGACAAACTGAAAGATACGTCGGATAGGTATAGTAAAGCTACATCAGAGCACTAGCGTGCCATACCACTGCAAAGTTTATTCGACTGCTCAAATACGCTTATATCCATTCAATATTAGAACACACGAACGCTGAAAATAGGGTCCGTATCATATTGTCCAAGGTACAGAATGTCCAAAGGTACAGAATGTCCAAAGTACAGAATGTTCAAGGTACAGAATGTCCAAAGTTCATGATGTCCAAGGTACACAATGTTCAAGATGAGAAATAACTTCCAAAATGGCGCAGAGTGGGAGGGGCCCGTTTCATAATGCCCAATATTTCAGAACAATGTTTCAGAATGTCCAAAGTACAGAATATCCAATGTACGTATTGTCCAAGGCACAGAATGCCCAAAGACCAAAGCTTCCAAACTAGTTCCTACAGCGGCCGCCAGGGCATGAATGATCGCCCTTATTGGCAGGCAGCGTGGGCTCGCCCAGCGCCGGCCGCGCGCATACAGTCGGCACCATTACGGAGACCACGCGCGTGGGGCTGGCCGGCCGGATTACTAGCTTAGTAACAGATCCGTGTCCGCTCCACGACGCAATGGATCCGGCTGGAGGCGCCGCGCCGAGCATTGGTCGCTGATTGTCAAAGTTGAGCCCGGTAAGGTTTCCCTGCATATTGGGCTGCTAAAAAAACATTGAAAGCGGTCGGAATATGCAATGGAATTATAGCCGCACTATGCCCGAAAATATCATTGTCGAAATCAACACCAGCAGTAGGCAATTATGGATGCCTATCTTGAATGCTCGATTGTCAGTATAATGCATACATCATAAGTTAGCGTTAATAAGCCCAAACAAGTTGACATAGCAAATAAGTTTGAGTTCATAATCGCTTCCGGCATCATACACTAGCATTGTGGTTACTATGGGATGGGTTTGCAGCGATAGCAAACTGACATCAAAAATATTTCGTGGCCAGTAGTGAATATCGTTGAATGAGGGTGAATATTTTTAAATATGCTATCATAGAAACACCCCATACCCAGCACGTGCGGAAAGCTGATCGAAACACAGACGGTTAAATTTGAAGTAATAGATGACCATTACCAAGAATTAGGTCAGGGTGTTCAAGGCAATGACTAAAACACCATTTCTAGATGTACCTCACGTCAAAAACGCTGCTTATGTGACGTCCCAAGATGATGCATGCTTACTTGTCTCGAACAAAGTTGACGATTGCGCACAACAATTGAAATATATGCATACTTGTCTCCCGGCGTTAAAATGTCTTATTTACAACTAGTGTTTCTTGTGCAATGTTGCATCTATCAAACTACGCACGCGATGCGATTACTTAATTCGACATTAGGTACACTGGACGTGTTTACCTGTCGTGTTTTTCTCGCAACGATGTGCGCACCTTCTGTGCGCGTGCGCCACTGAGGTGTCCAGTGAACCGGTCTGCGATCTTACGCCTCGATTATCCCACCTGAACTGTCCCTATACTTAATTTCGTGGAGATTTTATGTCTTGCCCCATTTTTTAATTTCATTTTCAATCCTTTGGCGCATACGTGAGGAACTTTTACCCCCGACGGAACACTAGGGCCTCCTGGAGCGGTCAACTAGAATGAATTGGGATGAGGACTGATAGTCATGCTACCCTGAGGTCGTGCATATTGTTTGCGTGGGCACCGTATTTACTATTACATATATACATATAAAATGTATATATATATATATGTATATAAATGCTTATTTATGCATAAAATAAATAATTTAAGTATTGGAACCCATGTTATGCTGCGCAGCGCTTGGAAAACGAGGGCTAAAAAGAGCACACAAAAAATTGAGGCTAAAAGCTGGCGCTACTTTGGCTAAAAAGCTAGGGATGTAATGTACATATCCCTTTTATGTTAAAATTTAATGGCAGAATTTGTTTGGAGGAGACCCCAAACTGTAGGGGGCACCACAATGTTACGTGCCCCGCCCCCCCCCCTTCACGACAGACTGGACCCGCCCCTGTTTGCATTCATTCCGCTGTGGAGTGGTAGCGCGGTATATCCCTGCTCTCACATTCTGCGGAGTCATCTGTGAAGACGTGCTCCACATATGAAAAATGCGTTCATTTCACCTTTTTACGGCCTCTTTTTGGACGTGATGAGGAATTACATCGAGGAGGCGCAATACAAGCGGCACTGGACACCCGTTTTTACAGGTATGTATTGTCATGGAAAACAAGGAGTACTTCACACTTACTTTAATTTGAAACACAGTATGCTCACACGACTGAAGGCCAGAAGAAACGCTCAACGCTCTTAATATTTGAGATTTCATGGCTGCTTGTTGTTCAGTCATGGGCGTGTCGACGCGAAGTGTAGTATAATCGGGGCATCATGGGCTTGAAGCGTATCGCTATGGTTTAGGTCCCATCTAGCAGTACTACAGATAAGTTGTCTGGGAAGCAATCAACTTTATTGACCTCTCTGTACCCGTATGGCAGACATGTTGGGATAGTGTTTCTAATTTAAGCAAATCAATTTAACCAGTCAGTCTCCTGGGCTCCGATTTCACAAATTTTGTCAATATATCTGATGTACAACCTTGATTTGAGCCTCATTTCGAAAGAGAGATGAATGAAAACAAATACTAGAGCCAGGGGAGGTGCACGGCTATTGCACGTAGCTATACGCTCAAGTCGTGCACTGAGTTTGCGAAGAGCACCAGGCTATTGTCAAATATGTGAGGTGGTTCTTGGAAACAGTCAGGAAGCACTCAGTGCGATACCGAAGAATGATATGCTATCAAGTTTTCCTCGATTATGCACACTATACCGACCCTATTCATTCTGTAAATGGAGTATTCCTGCAAGTTGTTGCATTCTTTGTTACGTTTAGTGTTTTCGCGTGTAGTGATAGTATCTAAACTATCATCCTGCTAGGCTTTATTATCTATGCTATGTCTGGATTCATATTTTCTTCCAGTTATATGACATATAAAACCATGATCGCGCATGCGACATGCCGATGACAATTGCGCGTTTTGGTTCATGGAACTATCCATGCTTGGCTTCTTGGCCGAAATCGAAAGAAAAAGGACTGTCATAAAACTTCATCAAACTTGTCATATATGCCTCAATCAAAGGCGTAGGACTGTTTCAAAAGGCAGGGGGGGGGGGGCAAGCACACGGTACACTTGAGCAACTTTTTCTGGAAAGTGAGCCCAATGACCGGCGGGAGGGGGTAGAGATGGAGGTTGTCATCGCTCTTTATTCAAATGTCATGGCTGCTACGCTAGATATGCATCTAGAGCTGTTTCTCACTGATGCGCAATCTTGCCTATTCGACCCATCTGTCATTTGGCAAATAAGGCTATCCAGCTCCCCGAGATTATTCGTCCATTTTAACATTGTCCCTCTTGGGGAAGCGAAATTGCACGAGCGGGTAGACATTTGGGGTCATTGAGGAGGCATCTGCCTCCACAGTGTGCATGCCAAACTACGCCCTGGGCATAGGCCGGTGAGAATTTTGAAAGTGGATCGATGGCTCACACTGCTTTTAAGAACCGAGCCACAAGGCCTATCTGCCACATGTTCCTTATCTGGGCCCTGCTTCTGTCCGTCGTCGGTGGCCACTGCCCTGGCCCGGATGCCTCCCGCATGACTGACTGCGAGCTGATCGTATGGCTACTTTGTTACATACTTTTGGATCAGCGCTACTACTACATGGTGAAGCATGTGTTGGGCACCTGCAACAGTATTTTTTTCCGAATAGCCTTCCCTTATACCCATACCATCGCAGAAAAATAGCATGCGGGAAGCTGTCTGCCTTAGGTATGGATTGGCCCAACGGACACATCATTGTCCATCACGCAACGCACGTAACTTGGTCTGCTTTTGTGTGCCGGCAGGGGCGTAGCCAGAGAGTTGCCAAGGGGGAACACATGGTTGACAAAAGCACATCTTATGGTGATCCCCCCGAAAAAATCCCCGGATATAGCTTGCTGGTTAACAAGGGACGCGGTGTTCTTCGTGTTATCGTTATTTTCACCTTGTAACCCGCACAGAAACCAGGAGCTACCGCGAGATGAATTCTGTTTGTATTTTGAGGTCAATAAACTGCAGAGATCAACCGTTGAACGACCGCATGGAATAAATCACCGGCGTTCTTAATAAACAATGGTCTGGCTGACTCTTATAAGCACATATAATTCAGAAGCCTTGTCAGAATTTTCAGCTTGGTTCTACAGACATTTACGACATGGCGAAGGCAGATTGTAGATCGATGCGTTCGATCCCAATTTGAAGATGAAAATTTTCAGATCGAGTGGTCAATGTGTATTAACATGGCCAGGCCATGTTCGTCTGGAAATGTGCACCATTCATTTAGAATCTGTTGGTGATATAATTTATGTAACATGCTTTTTAACACGCGCGCTCGCAAACCTTAGCAACAAAAACCTCGGCACGAGGCGCTGCAGCCTTCATTATCTGCGGAGCTTTAGCTCTGTGGCTGACTTTTAACCGTGGCCCACGGGTGCACGAAAATGATGACGCTTCTGAAGTGATTACCTTTTAACACTGTAATCGACTATTAATGCAAGTTATGTGGCGCAATTTTGAGCACGCGCACTCCAAAATCTTCGAAACACAAGCCTCGACATCAAGCGTTGCAGCCTCCATAGGCTGCGCAACGTCGGCCTACCAGCTGATACTAAGCTGTGGCCAACGGGTGGACGAAAATGACGCCACTGCTGAAAAAGTATTCTAAAATATTGTAAGATGTAGTAAAAGTATTGAGCGCGTATTTCGCGTGTGCAATTTTTTGACTGATGAAAAGAACAGATTTGCCCTTTAAGCACCGTGAAGTGGGGCTGGAATCTGGGGATTTAACTGGAAGAGTGA